AATAAAAATATTATTTTATCTAAAATCAAATAAACCATATCATATCAACAGAAACAAAAAATAAAATTAAAAATTAAAAATTAAAAAAGATATATCTAGTTATATTATACGAATAGTTTATTATGAAAATATATTATTTTGGGGGAGAAGTAAAGTATAATAATAAATGGGGAAGGCGCCGTACAACAGGGTTACGCGGCTTACGTAAGGGACTGAGCAAAGACTGCGTGTGGTAGAAGTCACGGGACGTTAAGACTGCACACCATCTTTGACAAGTCCTATCACCCGGCGGCTGCCCCCTCCTCCATTCACTAAACTCAAATCTAATTCACATTTATTGCTTTTTTTTTTTAATATAAATTAGTATTTTAATTATTATTTTCCACGGTTTATTTACGTATTATTATGTCCGCGACTTTCACTTCCGTCACTTGCATACCTAGTTAAAATACAAAATAAATTTATCAGATTTGACTCAGGTCTACAATGTGATAAAAGACTTTTATCTACCTTCGTAAGTGGTAGACGTGAGATTTTTGGATGTAGTGATATTTGGGTAAATCATGGAGAAAAATGACTGGGAGACCAATTTATGTCTGATGAATGATTAGTTAGACCAATTTTACCTTTTTTTAATCAAATATCTACTTTTTTATTTCACATATATCTAAGCTTCGTAAGGTTGAGTTCCTGTGATTGAGGTTAAGGTGAGAAACGTAAAAAATGGTCTCTATCAATGGATGCACAATACGATGAGATGTACTGGAATTGATTATAAACTCCTTATACGATATCAATGTATACGGTTTTGATTATATAATAGTAGGAAGCTTCTGCTTGTATACACACATATATGGAATGGTTCAAACGAGAATGAAAGAAAACGTGTTTTTGGAGCCGGGTTTCGTATAGGGCCGGTTGGGTTGCCGGTAATCAACTTTTGCTCAAATACCCTTTTAATATAATCAATTAAATGTGATACTGAGTTAGAGATATTGGCGTCTTAGGCCATAGGCCAAGTTGTCCGTACACCATCAAGTCCCTCGATATGTAGCATTACATTTGAGAGGAGTGTTATTGTGTTTTCATAAACTGAATGTGTTCTGGTTTGAACCCCTAACTACACACATAACATAGAAACATGTTTTCTTAAGTCAGGCCTTGCAAAACATCGTGTGTAAGGTTTAAGACTCAACCACACCACACCTTATTGGTTATCAATAGATATCGTATGAACTATGAAGAATTGTACGTCTTGTTATCATTGATTGTTGCATTTGTCACGTAATTGTTCTTTGCCATTAACACCCTCTGTCACTTGTGTCCGTTATGTCATGTGCCTATCGCATGATGGGTTGTAAGTCAACATGAAACACAACCCGAATTTTATCCTCATTTTCCCAATGGCAATGGTGATGATGGTGTGTTGAGTATACATGCTAAGCAAAAGCTAAACGAGAAGATATGTGTGGTCGTTCGGTTGATGAGATGTGTATTCAACTCAAAGGGAACATGTTTTATTGGGGAAATTCGAGATCCTTGATGAAATGGTGTGGTGTATGACTGTTGACAAAAAAAATCAACAGTGAAGAACTTTGGTTGTAATCTATCATATACAAGAGAGACAACGAGAAAGTAACACGCAGAGACTTTAACGAGAACTTTGGTGATTTTGTTGTTATAGCCCGACGAACACCACCATAGTTATCCATCCATCCTCAGCACAGTCTCTTGTTGTAACTTTCCTCTCATGTGATTTTTCTTAAATCACACGTTACCCTGGACCATCTATTGGATTTTATAGGTTTTAGCGTTTACACCTATCTTTGTCAATAAATCTTTGTGCCTTCAGGGTTCTACAAAAAGTTATAATTATTTAACTTTCGGGGGTCAATTCTTTTTTGTTGGGGTTTGTTTTCAAATCTTTCAAGATGCAAAGGATTTTAGACTTCAAGATGAGTTGAAATTTGCTGCAAACTTTAAATTGACGTAATTCAAGATGAGTTGTTAGATCATAATCATGTCTTGATCGATTCATAGCTTTCCCGATGACAATATTCTTCTTCGAGATGAGCTGATGCAATGGGTTTATGTGGGGCGGGGNGGGAAGGGGGGGGGGGACCGAAAGAAGACAACAACCCTAAAGAGTACGAATAATTATTAGTGAAAACTCTCTTTGGTAAGCTATAAACTAGATGCACCTTTTGTACCAAAAACTCACATACTTGTCCTTAGAGTCTAGGTTTTGGTCCTTTTGCACCAACAACTCTCGTTCTCTTTTGGATTCTTTTTTGTGTATGTTTCGTAAGAAAATAAAGTGTTATTGAGATATTTGCACCATAAATTTGGAGTTTTAGTTCGAAGATTTCATCTCTTCACCAAATGAAACTCAAGATTCGGGGTAAAACCTATATTTAGATTAAATCTAGCAGGTTAAGTTCAAGTTGTTTTGTGAAAACTTTATACATGCCAAAAATGTATGTTTTGAAGTCTTAAAGTGCTTCCTTAATATTTATCAAGTGTGGGTTGATTACTTGGTGAAATTGCATCTTTCACACACTTGGTTTATAACATCACGAGAAATGCATATTTTTGAAGAGTTTGGACGGTTTAATAATAAATTATAAAGTGTGTGCAAAGTTTTTGATGTTAATGCACTTTTGATTTTATAAATCATACAAAAATTACACAGAGTTGAATTGTTGGATACATTTTGGGTGTCGGTGTTTATTTCTTAAATGTTTCCTTCAATTTGTGGTGTTGTAGTCAAAGACCTTCCAGCCTAGTGGTAAAGACTTGGGCATGACATAGTCATGAACCCGAGTTCGAGCCCTGGGAGGGGAATGTTGGCGACATTTAAGTGGGGCCATGTTTAGCCTCCAAATTTGTCGGGGATTAGTCGGGCTTTGGCCCGGACACCCTTACAAAAAAAAAAAAATTGTGGTGTTGTATTGGGACTTTAACCAACCTTTGAATTGATGATGATAATTATAGCCACATCTTTTGGGGTGTAACTGGTGTAAACATTGCGTAACTGTGTTTTTTTGGCTCTATACCAACTTTTATTGTACAGTCAATATAGTATAGATATATATTGATTAAAAAGTTTAATATATTAACATTTTTATTATTATTACTATCTATACTATATTATAAAGCATTTCACAAAAACTTTTAAAAACAAATTTGTATGCATGAAGTACTGTTTATTGATACATATTACTTAAAATTCAATAGTACAAGTAAATTGTGCGTAAGTACAACGTATTAAAACTTTATTTTTCAATTCGTGTAACTAACTGCAGATAAACATAATCAAATACATGATAAACATCTCATATTCAATATAAAAAAATTAAAATATAATTAGAATATAATTGAGTTTTAACAGAATACTTAATTATCATCCTTAAAAAATTTATATTATTAAACAAAAATAAATTACTTTGTTATTAGATCTAAATTAAATTTATAATATAAAAATTGAATTAAAGAAATTACACATAAAATGAGAACTTTTAGATAATTAATTTAACATTAATATCAATTTTTTTTTTCTTTCAATCGTTTTTTAAAATCACGTAAAATCGTATTATATCAACAGAGAAATGAATAAAATTAAAATTTAAAATATAGATATCTCATTGTATTGTATGAATACCCTTCTAATAATATTAAAGATGTTTTTTCAGTTTACGGTTGAAGTTTATTTTTGTACGTATTTAGCAAAACCATTTTTTGTATATTTTTAATTTTATTAATTAATAGTTGGAAAAAGCAATGTTTGTTTTAAGGATATACATACATAGGATTTGTTTTAAAAAAAGCATATCTGTGGTTAGTAGTTTGGTTCCACTCTTGTAATTTAAAATAAAACCGAGGCCAATTAAACAGCCGGTGAACCTCCACGTAAGCATGATCAACGCACTACAAACACCCTGTCAGAATAATCAACGGTCAACCTCAACCCGACCCCACTTCCTCCTCTTGTTTGTTCGCCGTCCAGCCGACGATTACGGGTGACTTCGTGGGTCCCACCTACCACTGCCGCTTTTCCACACACATCACTTTACCGTTTCAACCCTTTTTGGTTTATTCGCTATTTCTTTCTAGTTTTTTAATCTTTATTAAAAAATATATTTATTTTGGATAATTTAAGAACTGTTTGTTTGTAATTTTGGTCAGTTATATATGATTGTAGTTAAACGATATAAAATATGATTTATTCAGTAAATTTCTAAGGAGAAATTTGTATATATAAAGTCAAGTTTTTTTCAAACATGTCTGTCTCAATTAAAAAACACGTTCATTCCATTTGTGGAAAAACACAGGGCTTATTTGGCAGTTGCTGAATGATTTGGTGCAGAATGATTAAGAGACTTTCATGATATAGTGCAAAATTAAATATAATTATTTACAATGAAATTAGAACACTTAATGGTTAAGAGAGGCTCAGGATACAAAATCATTCAGAGAGTTTTAGAACCATTAAGAGAGATTTTTTTTTGCCAAACAAGATTCACATTTTAATGATTCAGATGTTGTTTCTTAATGAAACTATTAAGAGGTAAATAAACAATCCTCAATTAAAAAACACGTTCACTCCATCGTAAATTTGCAAAATGGTTTGATAGTTGCTGAATGGTTTGATATGATTCTACATCAACCCATTCAACAACTACCACACAGCCCCTAAAATATTTCAAAAGAAAATGGAATACAATTTAAAACATGTACATTAATTTAACTTTTAAAATAACTAAATGACACTTTTATTCTTAATAATAAAAAAATAAATTTTTATTCGTTTCATACTTAAAAGTAAAATGAAAAAATGAAAATTTATTCTTAATAATAAATATTTTATTTTAAACGAAAATAAAAATATATATAATTAATTTAAAAAGAAATAAATATTATTATTTAGGATTTATTAAATATATTTTACCTATATATTTTACACACACCATCCACCCCCTACCCTCCCTTCACACTCTCTTTCTTCTTCCCACATTTTCATCTCTCCAAAAAAGCTTTACTTTTTTCGTCCATGGCGTCGCCGGCGCACTACAGGGGCGTTAGAAAGAGGCCGTGGGGGCGTTACGCGGCGGAGATACGTGATCCCTGGAAGAAAACCCGTGTTTGGTTAGGAACATTTGACACACCGGAGGAAGCTGCTTTAGCCTACGACGGCGCCGCCCGTTCTCTCCGTGGCCCCAAAGCCAAGACCAACTTCCCTTCTCCACCGCCGTCTCCGCCATCTCTATCACTTGACCTCAACAACTTTCCGTCCATCCACCACCACCACCAACATATCAGGTGGGTGGCTGCACCGCCAAGCCGGCAAGTGATGGTTGGAAGGGAGTTGGAGTTATTTCATACCGGCGTGGTTAGAGATCGCCACCACGGTGGCGGTGGGTGTTGCTCCGCCGTTGTGGTGGGCAATGGTGGTGAGCGTGCGGTGGAGGAGGGTGGTTCAGATGGTGGGAAAACGGCGGGTTTTTTGGGGATTGTGAGACGTGGATTGGGTATAGATTTGAACGAGCCTCCACCCATGTGGCTGTGAGACGCATCGTAGGCTAACTTTTTCACCGTACGGCGTCGTCTGGTCACTTTTCCACCATGTTTATGGTTTTCCATTTTCCAATTTTCCTTTTACTAGTGTATGAGAGAGAGACCCATCAATCTCTTTTGTTAATATGAAATTTGATTTGATGATTAAGGGCATTTTTGGAATATACAGTTTTTGTATCAAAATTCCTTCTAATAATTGGGTAAATTAGCAACGGGTTAGTTTGCTTTTTAATTAGGCTTATTGGTCTATCTGATTTATTCGTACAACTCATTTGGGTTGTTTATTTACGCCTTATTCGCACAGAACATGACTTAATCGTACATATAGAAATGGTGCGTTGTCCCCATTCAGTCACAAAAATGACGCCCCTACCCCTTATTTAAAAACATTACCTCTTTCCCATATGAGACACCTCATCTTCGGTCTCTTTATGATTTTTTGTATTGTTGTACAAATAATTAATATTGGGGAATAAATCGGTCATTTATATTATTCAGATGGTTGGTTCAGATAAAAAAAGTAAACAACAACATCCATTTATCCGGATATGAATAAAGTCTTACCGAATAAGATGTTTTTCTATATTATTAAGCTAATATCAAACATACATGTATGGACCGACGGAATAAGCTCTAAGTCATGTTACTTCACTAATAATCAAACCTTTATATTCGATATTGCCATTTTGGCTCAACGACTTAATGATTAAGCCGTAAAAATCACTTGTATATAACTGAATGAATAAGTAATTCAAACATTTAACTCATTATGCCTTAATACACATCCCATGAATGTATTTGTATGTACTTCCAAAGTCTTTATTTTTTTAAAAATTATTTGTAAAAATAACCTTTCTAAATTATTTATATAATATTAAATGACCATCATGCCCTACCTTGTGGGTTACCTTGGATGCTCGTACATACGTGGTTATCAGGTGTTGTTTGTTTCTTGTGGAAGTGTACAATTGTACCCGAAATTAACATTAAAAAAAAAGTAACACTTAAAATTGGATTTTGGAAGATATGGTGAATGCCAAGGGCAAAAAGGTCATTTTGTTTGAGATAACTTAGATCGGGTGTCAACTTATGTTGTGATTCACGTTGCTTAAATATGAATCATTTAGACTGTCGATCCATCAAAAAAAGGAAAAACACTAAAATACATCAGACGATGGGATCTTTTGATGATGTGTTCGTGTGTGACAACATGGTGTATAAACGGGAATATGAATTTCAAGATATATGGTTATTTTCGCTTTTACATTTTTTTTTTGTGAAATTGGTTTTAAATTATCAAAAAGATGTTCTAAAATCATTATAGATGCGTAGAGTGTTTAACTTGAGTTTGATGTAATTGGTGAACCGGGATTTAATGTATTCGGCCATCACAAATTGTGGTACAACCTTTAAACTTGGTGGCACTGCCAATGGCTTCGTCTAAACAATTTACAGGGTCTAGTTGCAGTAATTGACATGTTTTAATGAGAAGAAACTATAAGGTTACGAGTTATATTTCTAAACGGCCGTTTATTGAACACTTATGGGGTAAACGCTTACTGGATATTAGTTATTGTTTATGGCAAAAATACTTTACATAAATAACTTAAGGTTGTTGTGGAGCTTTAACAACTGAAGATCATATTCTTCGATAAACACACGACAATCAAAAGAAAGTAAATAAAACACAAGGATTTGGTGACGCTATTAATCCATATCGAGGGTAAAACCGCGGACGACACTTAGGGGTGTTTGGTTTGCAAAATGATTTATGAAGGAATATAATCTGTCAAAGGAATTGGAATCTGAAAGAAATTGGAATTGAATGTTATCAAGTTTGACCAAGTGTTTGGTTGACAGGAATGAAATGTAATATGTTTAATGAATAGGAATCTGCATGTTTGGTTTGCAACATAATTGGAATTGAATGATAAAAATGGACAAAAATACCCTTTCTGGGGATTTCTTCACCTTTTTGTGAGTTTTTTTTTGGATTTTGATTCTAGGGTTTTTTCTTTCTATTTTGAAAAAATCAAACGAAAGCATCCAACTGAACCCTAATTTCATCATTTTCATCACAAGTGTTTTGATTTTTCACTAGCCTCTCTTCTCCGGCGTCGGTCACCCCTCCTACAACTTCGATGCTTACTTCTCTCACTCACAACACCTCTATCTTCAGTATCTTTTTGTTTTGTTGAAGCTCAACCCGAGTCGGCCTCTTCTTGGTTGTCTCTATCGATAGCAAAAAAGTGGTTGTATCTGTCGGCCAGGATATGGTGGATTTCGATAGCCGGAGTTCATCGGTTCTTCATTTGGTGGGTTAAGGTTTTGATTTCTCTAGCCCTTCTTCATTTGGGGGAAGCTTTGTCGATCTCATACTGATAGATCCAGGATTTTTCTAAAACAGAAATGGTGAAAGAGAAAACAATAGCGGGTTTGGATTACAATAGAGAAGAATGAAACCGACGAGTTCTCAGAACTGGTTCCATTCTAATAATAAAATGATGTGGTCTGATCAATCAGATTCCATAGCCAGAAATTAAGAAGGGAAACAGAGAGAAATTAAGGAAGAGGATTTGGGACAATTTTCTGAATAATCCATTAATAATCCAAACGAATACATATAAAGTAAATTGCAATTAACCACTACTCACATGGAGGAGATCATGGATCACCACTCCTTTATTTTAGGAACAACTCCTTGACACACAAGCTAAACATAAACTGAAAGAATAGGAAATAACTTAATTAATTTAGCATAAGGTCCCCTTTGTAACGTTGGCTCCGGTACACATCAATATCCCCATCGCTTGAATTCGCCTTGTCCTCAAGGCGAAAGTCGGGATACGCCTTCTGAAAACGCCTTTTAGTCTCCCAAGTAGCATCTTCGCGAGGAAACCCCTTCCATTTAACCAAAACTTCCGTCTTTGGCCTATACTTTCCCTTTTTTACCACCCTTTCCTCTAAGACAGCCTCAGTAGTGGCCTGGTTGGTGGCAGGACCGCTGGACTGGCTTCGGATGAAACTGGAATGGGAGGATCACCTTTGCATTCTTTAAATAAACTCACATGGAACACATTATGGATAAGGGCCTCGGGTGGAAGCTCTAACCGGTACACAACAGGCCCCACACGTTGAATAATTTTATATGGACCAAAAAACTTAGGGCCTACTTTGGCCGATAAACGGACTGCTACTGTCGACTGCCTGTACGGTTGAAGCTTCAATAAACCATGTCTCCCACAGAAAACTCCACTTCACGTCTCTTTGAATCAGCTTTAGACTTCATTCGGTCCCTAGCTACCAACAAATTGGAACGTAAGTCACACAATAACTTGTCCCGATCAATCAAAAACTCCTCAACAGCTTGAACTTTAGAAGTTCCTGGAACATACGTAAGAACCTGAGGAGGTGGGTGGCCATACACAACCTCGAAAGGGGTCATTTTGGTGGTCGAATGAACTGATGTGTTATAACTAAATTCTACCCATGAGAGCCAATCTGCCCATTTTTTTGGTCGGTCTCCCGCAAAACAACGTAGGTACTGCTCAAGGGTTCGGTTGACTACTTCCGTTTGACCATCCGTTTGGGGATGGTAGCTAGAACTTAAACATAAATCTGTTCCCTGTAGTTTAAAAAGTGCTTACCAGAATGAACTAATAAAGACTTTATCTCGGTCACTTACTATTGTGGAAGGAATGCCATGCAACTTGACAACAAGTGATACAAACTCTTTAGCGATCGTAGCTGCAGTAAATGGGTGTTTGATCAGCACAAAATGAGCATACTTAGATAGGCGGTCAACAACTACCATGATGGTAGTGAACCCGTTAGAAGGAGGCAACCCTTCTATAAAATCCATACTAATATCTTCCCAAATTCGAGATGGAATCGGCAGCGGTTGGAGCAAACCAGCGGGTCGGCAACTTTCTGTTTTGAATCTTTGCCATATATGACAAACTTGAATAAACCTTTTCACCCCTTCTTTGATCCCGGACCACCAAAAACTCTCCTTTACCCGAGCCAAAGTTTTGTGGAATCCAAAATGTCCTCCTTCAGGAGAAGCATGACAATGTTGCAATACTTTAGAAATAAGAGATGAGGTTGGGATCAACAAAATTACATCCCCACGAAACCAAACCCCGTCCCGTTGCACCAAGTGAGATCTGGCGTTTGTAGGAAAACACCCCGGTAAATTATGATAGTAAGTATCCCGCTTTACATCATGTTGCAACTCTACCCACCAGCCCGCTGTAACATGTGAAACGGCCAAGAAACTAAACTCGGGTTGCCTCGCTAATGCATCTGCCCCTATATTAGTCACCCCCTTTTTATACTCAACCCGGAAATCATAACCCATTAGCTTCGGAAGCCATCGAGCTTGGGCCGATGTGGAAACTCGCTGATCTAATAAATACTTAAGGCTAATGTGGTCCGTCTTGACCACAAAAGGCTGCCCTAACAAATACGATTTCCATTTCCTGACCGCCCTGACTATTGCCAACATTTCTTTTTCATAAGTGGACCAAGCCAACATGGACCCTTTTAGTGGGGCACTATAATACGCGATTGGACGACCCTGCTGAGTAAGGATGTCCCCAATACCCACCCCACTAGCATCACATTCCACAGTAAAAGACTTAGACCAATCCGGTAACCCCAACGTTGGAGTGGTCGTGAGAGATTGCTTGAGCTGTTGAAAAGCTTTTTCGGGTACTGAATTCCAATAAAATGGCGTTTTTCCCACCAATTTATGAAGAAGGGCTGCCATGGTACCAAAATGTTTAATAAACTTCTGATAATACCCCGCAAGGCCTAAAAACCCACGTACCCCTTTAGCATTTTTCGGGGTCGGCCAATCTAACACAGCTTGGACCTTGGAATGGTCAACTGCCACCCCAGAAGAGGAGATGACATAGCCCAAATAATTGACTTTGGATACCCCAAAACAACATTTGGTAATTTTGGCATAAAGCCTGTTAGTAGCCAAAATCTCCAAAACAGTAGACAAATGTTGCAAGTGATCATCTAAGGTTCTTGAATAGACCAATATATCATCGAAAAACACAAGTACAAACTTACGTAAGTGGGGCCGGAAGAGGTCATTCATTAAACTCTGGAAGGTTGCCGGTGCGTTCGTAAGCCCGAAAGGCATCACTACAAACTCATAATGCCCTTCATGAGTCTGGAAAGCTGTTTTACAAATATC